GCAGCTGCAACTTAGATATTCGCCAATAGGTGTATATTCAACCGTGAAGACAAATGGATCTCTAGTGTTAAAACTCCTGAGCGAATAATCAGTTATAATGTATTTCTCCACTCCAGGGTTTGCTTGATGATCTTCATGGGTGTTGATTTTACAATGGTACAGTTTCCTTAAATGTACTTGAAAAAATTCAAACACTTCACGAGTATAACATGCTTGAAGTTTTTCTTCCCATGCGAATTCAGACAAACATTTTGGTTCAAAGCACCTTGACCTATATTCGGCTCCAATTTTTTCTCAAACTTAGCTCTTATGTCTAACTCATACTGTTGAACAAATAGCTTCAAAGTGCTTTGGCAGGTGATAAATCCATCAAGGAAAGCATGAATTCCTTCACTTTTTTGTGTGGACAACATTCCAGCCCAAAAGTGATCATGTAGGTATAACCCATTTTTCATTCTCCAAATAAAACTTATAAAACCAATCCCTTCAATCTAAGTTATATTTTGCAATATAATTAGTCCATCTTCTCTCAAACTCAGCAAAGTTAATGCTATCAAGGACTAAAGCTTTAAATTTTGCCTTTGCAATCTTACTACCAAAGAACTCCGCTTAACTTCATAGGCAACTTTGCGAATATCTGCCATATACAATATTTATGTACCGTTTGGCATCAATGCATTGATGGAAGCCTTAATACTATCACATTGTTCAGTCATGATAGTTAATGGATGAACATTGCTTAGAGCCCCAAGCCATGTAGACATCGCCATTTTGTAACTTGTTTTATCCTCACTAGACATAAGAGCGCATCTCAAAAGTATAGACTGCATGTGCTGATTGACACCAACAAATGAAACAAATAGCATATTATATCGATTCACAAGGTATGTGGTATCAATGCATATGACATCATGGAACTCCTCATATGCAACCTTAGAGTGTGAATGAACCCATACAACATTACCAAGTCGGCCAAAACTATCCACATATACGGAGTAGTAAAATTCCCTGTCTTTTTTATGCATGTCACTGAAGAACTTGAGTAATGATTGTGCATCCCTTCTTGCAATTGTAGCTTTTTACTCTGTAAAATATAATTTCTACAGTCCTTTGGTCTATAACCCAAATTTTCGGGGCCACCAGCAAGCACTTCAGCGACTCCTATATTTTTTGAAAGTCTTAAGCCAGCAATATCTTTGGGTGTAAAAGCTCTCTTAAGAGACCTACTAAGCGACATGTGTCCAATCATCAATTGCGATGGTGTTGGTTCTAATTGATGATTATACCTTTTAACTACCTTTGAAACACGCCATAAACCATTTTCCTCCAAAATTTCATTTATTCTAGCACGACAGTTCCTCCTGTAGGTAACATGCTTATTCCTTGGTTTCCTAGACCTATCACAACCATATTGCACATACCTTACAATATCACCACCTTTTTTGTTTGATGTTCTTTTGTCAATACAAAACCCTGATAATCTTGCATGTTCTTTGTAAAATCAAACATAACATCCTTATTGCTGAACCTCATTCCAGTAATTAGACATATTACTAGATCTTCTTTATTGAACTCATTAGACATTTCTCTGTCCTCTCCACCTTCTCCCTCTTCCTCTAAATAATGACCGCCGCCATCATCATCATCATCATCATCGTCAACATGATCTTCTCCATCATTGAAGTTGCCGTCTGAATCAATGTTGATCCACTCATCTTCATTCATCAAACTGTCGTCCGAATTCAACCCTAAAGATATGTATAATGCATTCCTTAGTTGCTCCGACCTAGTTTCTAGGTTGTTATTCAAGTTTAATAGCTTCGAACTAGTTTCTTGGTTAGTATTCATGTTTAGGTTAAGGGAATGGTAGTGAATTATGTGTTTAATGAAACGTCTCTTATCATATGTGTATGGTATAACAAGGTTACTCGAATTTATATACCGTATGAATTTTTGAAAAATAATATGTGTATACATACGAAGGCTTTTGATCTTCATATTCGTATAAATTTTATTTAAAAAAATACATAATAGTATACGTATACATACAAAGGCTTTTGATCTTCCCATGAGAGAATGATGATTTTATGGGATCAATGTTTTGGGATAATCAATAGTTATTAGTAGGGGTGGGCATAAAATCCAAAAAATCGAATTCCGAACCGAGCCGAACCGAATTAATTTGGTATTTAAATTTCGATTTTTTGGTATTTCGGTATATTTATGTACAGAAATTGCAGTATTTCGTTATTTCGGTACGGTATACGGTATTGAGTTTTTGATATATCGGTATACAGAAATACCAAAAGTATTCTAAGTCCAAGCCCAACTCTATTTATATTTTTTAGCCCAATAAGCCTAAGCCCAACACCCCAAGCCCCCTAATTCCCTAATCCCTTAGCGCTCAAGCCGACTTACAGCAATATCTGCTTACCCCCTTTCTCCTTTCTATCATTCTTGTTCTTGATTGCTTACAAGTTTGTTTCATCTAAGGACTAAATTTACCCTTTTCAGTTATTGTTAGCAAGTATTTGACTTTGACTCTAGTAGATCAAACAGGCTTATTTGTTTATATGGTTAGGTTATTGCATTTTTGGCTCGACCGTCGGGATAAATCTGACCCCTTCCCCTGTTCCAACCTACGTATATAGGATATTTTAAGAAGTGGATTATTTACAAGTGGTATTCAAGCTCTTATTTTTGCAACTTTAGCTGCGGCTTATATATATGAATCCATGGAGGGCCATCATTGAAATAGTCTTATTTAGCTTAGCCCAAAGCAATCTATAAATATGGTGGGTGGCTCAAGAGAATTACTTAACTTAGGGAATAGAATAAGGGAATCTAAATATACAACTATTTTATATACGATCTAGAGTGATAGCAAAAAAATCACGATGATATTAAAAAGTAAGGGAAAAAGATCTAAAAAAAGATCTTTTTCCTTCTTGGGCAACTAGTTCGAGTGCAGGAGAATTGGGACCCTGCGTGGTCGAACCTGAGAGGGCAAAGGTAGGGCATCGGGATACGCTAAAAGATCATATCCATAACATTTTTTAAAATTATCTTTTTGGTTTGCTAATGAATAGAGCTCATAATCATTTTCTTTTTTGTAATCAATTAATTGGTCTTTTTCATATGAATCTCATTTGTTTAAATTTCGATTTTGAGCCATACAACTTTGATTAACTCTATTTCGCCATTTTTAGGAATCGCTAGTGAGAAAATATTGGAATTGGTACCATTACACACGGGAAAGGTTACTTTTGGCAGCAGTAAATATTTTCTATGAAATCCACTTAGGAGATACAGGGACTGCCTGAAATGTTGGTTTTGTTGTTACTCTATTTCTATTGTTCACCACTATTTCCATTCTAGAGATCAGAATGTGGGTGACCACAAAACAGAAAATCTTCTCTACGTGATCCATTCATGTATTATGACGATTTTGCTTTATATTCTTTTTCATATTTCTTCCAAATACCATGTCAAACATAAATTCTTTTACCGTTCAACTAAACACAACAACCACGACTATTGTCTAGCAGGCGGCAGCTAGGTTAGCACATCGTGTCCAGTCCACTGTTCACTCCATTTATATCATCTCTTTCCGTTAATGTATCAAACCGAAACCGTACCGAATCAAAATAAGAAATACCAAACCGTACCGAACTACTTTGATACGGTATTTGGTATTCACAATTGATAAACCAAAAGCCGAAATACCAAACCAAAGTTTTTAAATACTGGACCGAAGTACCGAATGCCCACCCCTGTTATTAGTTTGTTTGGGAGGAAAATATTTAGAAGGAAAATAATGGTTGTTAAGCCAAATATGAAATCATGGGTTTTAAGGCAATTACATGGGTGTGGCCATCGTTGGGCCATTATTATTGTGTTCAAATAACAACTCCCATAACTCTTCATCTCTTCATCCCTTTTGTTAGAATTTTAGTATAGCAAGGATTGCGGTTTGATGGCTAAGTGAGAAAGAGGCCACATAATATAACTACACATAGTAATTATTTCCACAGTTGACAGTGGAATTTTGGGTGCTAAAAGGGAAACATATAATGTAAATTCAAAATCCCAACTTATTTAGTATAATATCAAACACATGTTTATATTATACCCCGTATATTTTATTTTTAGTCCAATGAATCAAACATCTTTCAATAAAAATAATTCGCCAAATAATCCCGTTATTATTTAATCCCTGTACCCATCATTATAAAATCCCGAATAACTTGTTTCCTACCAAATGTCTCCTTAAAGCTTATCAGCTAAGCCAAATGTGCTATTATTATAAAGTAAAGACTAATATGTGTTCAAAATGACTAAATTCCAACATGTGAATAAAGGAAATTGAATTTTCTGTTTCAAAATTGTTTAGTATTCTTACAACTTGTTTGGATGGTTGTTATCTGTTGTATCGTATCGTTACTTTAAATACAATGTTTGTTTTGATTGTTACTTAAATTTTATTGTATCGTATCGTTTAAATTTATCGTTACGTAACGACGAAAAGTGTCAATTTATGGAATGACCGATTTAGTGTGGTCGCATCTTCTTATTTTTTTTCTCGCCCTTTTTATTATTAAATAATCATATTTTATCTTTTACCCTACCTTTTTATATAATAATATTACCTCGTACCTTACTTTTTCTTTATAATATTGCAAGTTTATTTTTCATAATGATGGTGCGTGACATTATGAAACGACGACAAACAATATAGTATATCCAAATAAAGTATACAACAAAATGATACAGTACAATACATTACAATACAATACTATACGATATATTTGGAAACGTTACATGGCAAGTTGGCAACCATCCAAACAAGCTGTTAGGAAACCAATGGGCTGCAAAATTTGAAATCTGAAATGTACACCTCATTAATTTGAAGCCCATAACGCTTATGATTTTTCAAGATCCCGTTAGCAGGAGAAGATGTTTCTAGAAGCTTTAGCATCTCAACAGTGTAGACGCATCGCATCCCTCACTCGCCCTACTACTAGTACTAGTACTAGAAAGAAAGAAAAACCCCTCTCATTTCAGCATCCTCTGTTTTGCTACAAAAAATACAAGGACAAAACAGAGGAACCTACGTGGAATATTCCAGAAGCCGCCGTTACACCACCGGTCAAGCGATCCTTCCTACACCTCAGCCTCGTCGTCTGTAAGGTACGCTTTGATTACTAAATTTTACTCCTCCCTAACACAATCTCGCAGATCTGTGATTTTAATAAAATTTTGATTTTTCTTTGTCGATGCTTTAGATTTGAACATCCTATAACTCAATACGTAACATCCAACATATTGCACATTTTCTTCATTAGGTAGATTTTACGAAGAGCTTTTTATTGTTCTATTTGCGGAACTTAGTTTTGCATCTTGAGAGGTTGTTTGGTATATAAGACGAAGTATGAGAACTAAGCAGGATATTATCATTTCAAATCAATGCCTTATTTTGCTTAAAGAGGGAGATGTTGGGTACAGTAATATACACTAGCTTAGTCGTGATTGAAAGTTTTTCTCCTGGCTGGGAATTCAGATTGAAAGTCATCCTTGGAAACTGAGTCTATCTAATGAAATGTTTTTTAGATCTGCTGAAAGTTAGCTTGGCATACCTCAAGATCTTTTATTCATCTTTCCCACCCCAATGTAACTGCTAATTTCAGCATATATATTATATTAGTAAAACTAGCAATCGCACTAGAGAAAACTCGCAGTGAGAAGCTTTCTTGATTTTCTATTTAACGCAAAGCTCAGTTTTGGGATTAGTGGGCGCTATCATTTGAAGCGTATTATGTTTTTTTTAGTGAGTAATTTGGTTTACATGCATTGAGTCCTGGGTTTATTTGGTGTCTTCTTGATGCTGTTCAGGTAATTTATATTTCTGTTGGAAATTGAGCGAGGCAGCAAAGATGAGTGTGGTTGGTTTTGACTTTGGGAATGAGAGTGGTATTGTTGCAGTGGCAAGGCAGAGAGGAATTGATGTTGTACTTAATGATGAATCGAAGAGGGAAACCCCAGCTATTGTTTGCTTTGGTGAGAAGCAACGGTTTCTTGGGACAGCAGGTGCTGCATCAAGCATGATGAATCCGAAGAATACAATATCTCAGATAAAGAGGTTAATAGGACGGAAATTCTTAGATCCTGAGCTGCAAAGAGATCTTAAGGCATTGCCATTCTCGGTGACTGAAGGGCCTGATGGATATCCTTTGATCCATGCACGTTATTTGGGGGAAATGAGATCTTTTACACCCACCCAAGTTCTTGGAATGGTGTTTTCAGATCTGAAGATTATAGCGGAGAAAAATCTTAATGCAGCAGTAGTTGATTGTTGTATTGGGATCCCTGTATATTTCACTGATCTTCAGAGAAGAGCTGTTATGGATGCAGCTACCATTGCTGGCTTGCACCCTCTCCGTCTATTCCATGAGACAACAGCAACTGCATTGGCTTATGGTATATACAAGACAGATCTGCCAGAAAATGACCAACTAAATGTAGCTTTTGTTGACATTGGACATGCAAGCATGCAAGTTTGCATTGCAGGCTTCAAGAAAGGCCAGCTGAAGATATTGGCTCATTCATTTGACAGATCACTTGGAGGAAGGGATTTCGATGAAGCCCTCTTCCAACATTTTGCTGCAAAATTCAAGGAAGAATACAAAATCGATGTTTTCCAGAATGCAAGGGCTTGTATTAGGCTTCGAGCTGCTTGTGAAAAGTTGAAAAAGGTTCTTAGCGCAAACCCTGAGGCACCTTTGAGTATAGAGTGTTTAATGGATGAGAAGGATGTCAGAGGGTTCATCAAGAGAGAGGAATTTGAGCAGATCTGCATTCCAATATTGGAGAGAGTAAAAAAACCATTGGAGAGAGCTCTTTTAGGAGCTGGACTTACTACTGATAATGTTCATTCTGTTGAGGTTGTTGGCTCAAGCTCGCGAGTGCCTGCGATGATGAGAATTCTGACCGAGTTCTTTGGGAAAGAACCAAGGAGGACCATGAATGCTAGTGAGTGTGTGGCAAAAGGATGCGCGCTGCAGTGTGCTATTCTCAGTCCTACCTTTAAAGTTCGAGAATTTCAGGTAGCGTAGCTTATTGCTGTTGCTTTCTTTGGTTGATGCATATTTCCATGCTCATCTTGGTTTTGAGCACTTTGAATTTCATAATGTCATTGGGTACAACTATATTGTTTATGAAATTTCTTTAGTGACCGAAGAAATCCGTCTGAGCCCAACCCTTAGGGCCAACTGCAACCTTCAAAACTCGGGGATAATGGGCCTGCCCCTCTACCCTTCTCCACTTAAAAAACCAGGCTTAGTTCATATGGCACATGGCTTATATTGTTTATGAACGGCCCTTACAAAATTATTTATAGACTGTTGTAGTCGATCTTCTAAAGATCGAATTTGAGGCAGGTTGCTGTGGTGGCAGTGCTGGACTTAAGGGAAAACTGATACAATTGACTTGGAACAAATATGATAGTAATTTTTTCTTTTGGATCGATTTTTCTCATTATTGCATTTACTTCAGGTACCATGCTTTCTAGGAGTATGTCAGTAGGAAATATAGTTAACTTCTAGTACTTATTTTTATTTTGTAAAATGTTAGCATGAGATGAATTTAAATGGGACATGGCCAGAGAGTCATACAGCCGACCCAACTTGTTTGGGACTGAGGCATTGTTGGATTGACTGAGTGGAATTCAGTGGTGCACTTTCATTGAAACAAATATGATATGGATGGCAACATAAGAGTTAACGTAAAATTTCCTTCTTGACTGAAAAAAAGGGAACATAAGATTTCTTAGGATTGCTGAGTTTCTAGTTGAAGCAAAGGTGGATTAGATATCGAACTTGCTGGTCTTGCATTATCTGCTATTAGAAGATTATATTTGCACATCTAGCTTCAAACTGATTTATTTGGAGTTGATGCATGGGTTTAAGAGTTAAAAGATTTTGCTGGGTGATTGAAGGTCAATGAGAGCTTCCCTTTCCCAATTGCTTTGTCATGGAAGGGCTCTGCTCCAGATGCACAAAATGGAGCAGCAGAGAATCAACAGAGCACAGTTGTTTTCCCTAAGGGAAATCCGATACCAAGTGTGAAAGCTTTGACATTCTACAGATCTGGCACATTTACAACTGATGTACAATATGCTGATGTGAGCGAACTGCAGGCACCAGCAAAGATCAGTACTTACACGGTAATTTTAGTTATCACTTGTGAGATGCTTTATTTATAGATGAGTCCTTCAATTGCCCCACTGATTTTCCTTGATGTTTGTTGATTGACAGATTGGACCATTCCACTCTACTAAGGGTGAACGGTCCAAATTAAAGGTTAAAGTACGGCTAAACCTTCATGGTATTGTCTCAGTTGAGTCGGCAACTGTAAGTCCTGGAAATCTTTGACTATTTATTAAAGAGTAAGGATGTTCATAGTCTCATGTTTCCATGGTCTTTGATTCAGCTTTTGGAAGAAGAAGAGGTTGAAGTCCCAATTGTAAAAGAGGAACCTATTAAAATGGATACAGATAATGCTTCAGTTGATGCTGCTCCTTCAGCTACTGCTGAAACTGACGAAAACATGCAAGATGCTAAAGGAGCTGCAGATGCTTCAGGGGTTGAAAACGGTGTTCCAGAATCTGGAGACAAACCTGTCGAAATGGCTACAGACACGAAGGTGACTTATTCTCTCTCATCTTAAATTGTTGTTGGTTGTTTGAGCTAGTTTTTACTTTTTAATTATCATGTTTGATAGTTATTTGACATGCTATGCATTTATCAGATGCCAAATTTGTTGTCACTTGTCAGATATCAATGGTTTAGTGTTTACCTCTATGTTTAATCCTTGAAATGTGCGGGCCAAATATTTCCTTTTTCTGATCTAAAATGAGGAATATTCTTTTCCAATTTGGTTGAATATTTGTGCAAGGGTTATCTGTAAATCTCTGAATTTATGGTTATTATTTCTTGCAGGCTGAAGCCCCAAAGAAGAAGGTGAAGAAGACAAATGTACCAGTGACTGAATTAGTTTATGGGGCATTGGCAGCTGCTGATGTGCAGAAGGCTGTGGAGAAAGAATTTGAAATGGCTCTCCAGGACCGTGTCATGGAAGAGACAAAGGACAAGAAGAATGCTGTTGAGGCCTATGTTTATGATATGAGGAATAAGGTATGTGTTGGCCTTATAGTGTTTATATGAGGAGATTGGGTTGGATATTGATCATGTATTGGCCTTTTTTTATATGAGAACATTGGGTTTGATATTGATTATGTTTCTCCTCCACAATGTCTCTAGCTGCACGACAAATATCAAGAGTTTGTAGTGGATTCAGAAAGAGAACAATTTATTGCTAAACTTCAAGGGGTGGAAGACTGGTTGTATGACGATGGGGAGGATGAGACCAAGGGCGTTTACATTGCGAAGGTTGAGGAACTTAAGAAGGTCTGTGTTTTTCTGTTTACCCAATTTTGCGCTTCCTCTTTTGCCTTTGCAACTGAATTCTAAGATGCAATCTCAGCAAGGTGACCCAATTGAGCAAAGATACAAGGAGTACACAGAGAGGGGATCTGTAATAGATCAACTTGCTTATTGCATTAACAGTTATAGAGAGGCGGCAATGTCAAATGATCAAAAGTTTGATCACATTGATTTAGCAGACAAGCAGAAGGTGTGCCTGTCATCAGTGTTGTTTTTAGCTGTTATTTTCTTTTGCATGATCCTCTTCGTCCTGGCCTGAAGTATGGTCTCACGCAGTCACTCTTCTGTTTATCTTGCACTTTCTAGGTTCTTAATGAGTGCGTTGAAGCTGAGGCTTGGTTGAGAGAGAAAAGACAGCAGCAGGATTCTCTTCCAAAGCATGCAAACCCTGTTCTTTTGTCGGCAGATGTTAGGAGGAAAGCAGAATCACTTGACAAGTATTATTCTCCTTCAAGTTCCATCTAATACAATCACTTTTGACCTCTATGTGGTCTAATTCTGAAGTTTTTATTGATCACTGTCTTGATAGCTTTGTGTTTATTTTTCTTAGATTAGTATTACTTAGCTGACTTTCAAATACTTCTGCTATTATCTGTCTGTACAGGATTTGTCGGCCTATAATGATGAAACCTAAGCCAGCTAAGCCGGCAACTCCTGAAACACCTACACATGCACCTGCTGAAGGAGGTGAGCAACAGCCTCAGGATGCGGAGAGTCCTAATCCACATTCCAACAATAACACAAATGCTGGTGACGCTGATGGTGCTGAATTACCCCCAACTGCTGCCGAGCCAATGGACACAGACAAATCTGAGGCCAAATAAAGTGCTTCATGAGCTTGGTGGTTGGTTTGATCTTCAGATTCTTTATGCAGCCTAAGATGTGGTTTCATGCTATCACTTTTGGCTTTTGAGGCTTATCTTTGAAGGTTCTTAGCGGAACACTATATTTCCTCAGTGAGATAGGTTCGGCCATCTTTGTAGTGGGATGGTCAGCAATTATATTATTATTCACAGGGTGACTTTTTTATAATCCTGTTTCTTCAGGGGTTTTTGAGGGAGTTCGATTGCATTCCCAATTTTCTTGTTACTAAATTATTTACACCCGAGTCATGTTTGTCTTTTTATAAGCAAGAATTGATGTGTATCCGGAACCAGGAACCTTGGCATTCTTTTACGCTTTATTGTATTGGTATAATGGAGTTTACGTGTCAATTCAAGATGTCCAGTGTGCAATATCAAACGTGAATGAATGCATAGTTGAGATTAACTTCTTTTTCCCCGAGTTGGGTTACATTGCATACCCGTATGCAAAAAATTTCATCACTCACCATGATTAGTCGAGTAAACCTTACTATAGTACTTTTTCGAAAGTAAAAAGTAAGGGGGAGAAAATAAAAGAAAATCATTTCATTCTATGTGCTAGGTGTAGAAAACACGAAAGGAAAAGAAAATGCACTGTCTACCCTTTAAATGATTTTTTTGAAATTCCAAATCGAGCTTTCTTTATTTCTATAACTCGCAATTCTAATCACCTCATATCAGGGATACTGATCACTGCATCTAAACAAACATTAATCTAATCTCTTGAGAGGGCAGTTCTCCAGAACTAGAAGTGTCAGGCCACAGTCCCACAGCAGCAATGTCGTTATACGTACTTCAATGTACATGTTTAAGCGAACGGAGACAGTATCCACTTTATTATTGAAGTGGATATGCGTAAATATAAAACTAGACATCTCTTACTATATATAATTGCCGCTGAAACTGATTGTTACGGTACATTAACATTTATTGACTTGCAAATTAGTATAAGTAACAAGGTCATTACTGTATGGTTCAAAATCTGACCACAGTGGTCGACCGAGCTGGGACCCCGCCTAAGTGGCGAAATGGCGAGAAGTACCACGACCAACCTCAGTCCCATCATCGGCAGTGTATGTCAAGTAAAACCGGTACTCAAATAACGACGAAAAGACCGTCACGTGAAGAACTCGTTGGTCAAAGGACACAGTAAAGCTTCGAGAACTATATATAGAAGGGGGATTCTCGGAAAAGGGGGCGAACTTTTCCTCTCTACTCTTTCTCTTGCAATTTTCTCCTCTGAAGGATGTAAACTGATTTTTCTTTCTATCTCGCCAAAGATGAGATATTTAACATCAGTAAATATTGATTGTTCTTACTTTTGACTCATTGTATTGCTATAAATTTTTAGATCTGGAGTTGATTATGCTTGACTAAGATTTACTCTTCTTCTCATCGTTGATTGATTTAATCAAAAGATTTAATACTTCTTTTGTCAAACAATTTGGCGCCGTCTGTGGGGAATTTCTTAGCCAAATCTCCTAGTCTCCTTCATATCCAAAACCGGTGAAACATAATCACCCACCAGAAAGAGCAGTAAGTAAACCTCACATGCTAATCTATACCATGATGCTACCTAGAAGCAGAAGTTGCAACCAATATCCACGCAAAGCTCGCAAGAGAAGACGACGCTTGTTGCGCAAATCCCATAAGAGAATAGGCACATCTTATGGGATGACCCACACACCGGATAATCCATACACCGGATGACCCACGAACGAGCTAAGGCAAACCGACAGGTTTAAAAAAAAGGGGGAGGAAGAAAAGAAGGCCGAACACGGCTGCCGAATCCACAAACCACCATTCCATCAACCACTTAAACGCGTGGCAGAGCGAACAACGCTATAAGGCTACCCTCGTTCATCGATTCATCGGATCGAGGTAAGGAAAATCCCATCTTGGTTTACATTCTGCTGTTTGCTTAAACAGGGACACAAATGCCGCATAGGCAAGCGAGCAAAGAAGCATTCCAATTGGGGAGCGGAAGAACTATTACAAAATAACTTGAATATTGCCCATCTCAAACATTTCAACTTCTAGAAAATGATGTCCCGTAAGTCGTACTCCTTCTCCTCACCCAGATGTCCCGATTGGGTCCTCTCGGGGAGGTATTGAACGAGGCAATGAGGGAGATGTCACAAAGTTCAAAGGACAGTTCATCGCCTCGCCCATCGGCAAGCTCTCCAGGCCGAACGATGAAGGGGTTAAACGGGGAAATTCCAATATATGCATAAAACGAACATTAGCAAGGTAGCAACTTTGAATACTCTCCGGCATCACACTCTCCAATACAGAAAAAATTAAGCAAACTGGGACTCACCCAGGAAACACATAAGTTAAGCTAAACCGGGACTCCCCAGAGGACACCCCAAAACTCTCCAAAAAACTGGGACTTACGACGGGTTAACATTTCGACAAGCTCGAAATAACACCCTTACGGCTAAGGCCGTCGCCAAAGAGAAGAGTTCGACATCGCTCGAACCACGAGGGGTTAACATTTCGACGACAGCTGATAACTAGGGATTTTGACGCATTTTATACTCCTTCTTGCTTATGCTTTGATCAAATATTCATACAAAATAGTCCAAAAAGGCTCACAAGTTGTGCTTGATTGCAGGTTTGATCAACAAAGTGACAAAATGTCAAAAATCCGCTCAAAAGGAGTGAAACTTGCACAAGTACCAAAAATAAGGCAATCTCATGCAGAACAGGCCCAGTGCGGCCGCACAACACTTTGTGCGGTCCGCACTGGGAGATTCAGAGAGCTGATTTCCAGGCTTCAAGGCAGTGCGGCCGCATACCAATTTGTGCGGTCCGCACTGAAGGCACCGCGGCCGCAGTCCATTCTCTGCGGTCCGCGATGTGAAGATTCAGAGAGATCACTTTTCAGAGTTCTGAGCCATCGCGGTCCGCGGTCAACTTTGTGCGGACCGCGCTAGAAGCCTCCGCGGCCGCGGTCCATTCTGTGCGGTCCGCGGAGCCCAGGTTCAGAGAGATCAATTTTGAAGGCCAAAGCCCAGTGTGGACCGCGGTCCATTTTGTGCGGTCCGCACTAACCCCGCAGGGGCATTTTTGTCCAGATTTTTCAGCCTAGTATAAATAGATTCTTTTTCTATTTTTAAGGCATCAGATATTATAATACGTAAGCTACACTTGTGAGACGATTTTTCTTAGCCATTTTGGGCATTTTTACTTACTTTCCATCATTGAATCTTTGTATTTAGCTTAGTAATTAATTAATATGTGTTTATCTTCATCTATTTCTTATTTTTCTTCTTTGAATATGAGTAGCTAGACCCCATAGCTAGGGTTGTGGCTCAACCCTAGTGTGGGTAATTGATGGGTCTTGCATTTTAGGGCTAAATTGACTATGGGTGTTTGTTATTTGGGCCAATTTCATGGTTAATTTCTGAACTAGTGGTTGCAAACACTAGTTTGTGTTGAGTTGACTTGGGCTTTTCTTGAGAAAGAGAGCCTAAGTCTCCGAGATTGGTCCAACAATGAATTGGGGCGTACTCAAGAGATTGATAGCCCCAATTAAAGGGTTAAACCTCGAGAGAGTAATACCCGAATTGAACCCTAAGTTGCTTGTGCAAATTGGCATACCCAATTGGTCTTGAGAAAGCCAATTCGGGCAAAATCACTTGAACCACCGAGAGGTGTAGAGTGGGCAAAGTCGTTCAACGGTTATAACATACTCCCCAAATATGTCAAATGTGCCTTAGATTCAAGTACCCGTCAATTGACCACCTAGGCGGTAGTCACTACCCTAGTGCCTTTTAAACCTATTTGAACAACTCGTAGCATAATAGTTCTTAGCATAATTTTACAATTTGTAGTTTGATAAAAGTAGAATTATAAAGAAAACCCCAAAAAATGAATAGAAGTGTAATTAAGAACACATACGCAATCCTAAACTAGATAGATACTCGATTCCAATCCTAGCTCTCTGTGGATATTGATCCCGACCTAAAAATCGGGTAAAAGCTATTGCGACCCTCTCTTGCTACTTATTAGTAGTGCGGAGTTGGCAGCGATCAAGCATCATCCAATTTCTTTGACCAATCGGTCCTATTTGCATTGATCGTCTTTGACAATATACTCTTGATTTCCCTGTTTGAGACTTCAACTTGGCCACTCGCCTGAGGATGATAAGGGGTAGAAACTTTATGATTGACACCGTACTTTGCAAGCAAAGTGTCAAAGGCTCTATTGCAAAAATGAGNCTCGAACCACGACGGGTTAACATTTCGACAAGCTCGAAATAACACCCTTACGGCTAAGGCCGTCGCCAAAGAGAAGAGATCGACATTGCTCGAACCACGACGGGTTAACATTTCAATGACAGCTCGAAATAACACCCTTACGGCTAAGGCCGTCGCCAAAGAGAAGAGTTCGACATCGCTCGAACCACGACGGGTTAACATTTCGACAAGCTCGAAATAACACCCTTATGGCTAAGGCCATCGCCAAGATAAATAATTCGACCTCGCTCGAATTATAATGGGTTAATATTTCGACGACAGCTCAAAATAACATCCCTACGGCCAAGGGCCATCGCCAAAAAAGAAAAGAATTCGACCTCGCTCGAATTATAATGGGTTAATATTTCGACGACAGCTCGAAATAACATCCCTACGGCCAAGGGCCATCGCCAAAAAAGAAAAGACTTCGACCTTGCTCGAATTATAATGGGTTAATATTTCGACGACAGCTCAAAATAACATCCCTACGGTCAAGGGCCATCGCCAAAAAAGAAGAGTCGACCTCCCTCGAATTATAGTGGGTAAATATTTCGACGACAGATCAAAATGACATCCCTACGGCAAAGGGCCATCGCAAAAGGAAAAGTTCGAACTCATTCGAGCCCAATAATGCCTTTGCAGCTATCGACTGTCGTCGTGCTTTTTCTTTTCCTTCTAATTAAAAAATTGATTTCGCTACGAACTCCAAGTTCGGCCTCGTTCGGATGTGTAAGAAAGGGGGGAGTCAACTCCCCCGAATCAACGACAGTTGGATCCCACACGAATGACTTAAGTCGAGACTAACTTCGTCCAGAACAACAAAATTATGTAAACTCATTTGAGTCAAAGACGAATCTGCTTAAAGCAATAAGTCACCAGTCAATTCCGCCCCAAACAGGCAAATCGAATGAGACTCCATCCAGACTCACGATGGAGTCCTACTCAATCCGGTCAAAATTGGTTTCCCTAAAAAAAACAGAAATCTACTATACAAAGACCCAACAATTCACGCCAAAGATATGTAAAGCAAAAGAGGGAGAGATACAAAGGATTTACAATGATGAAAACTCCTTTATTTAAACAGTTGCGCAAATGGCCGTAGATTATACACGGC